CTTAAGGCTACATGACCACTATCCCTGGCTTGTATGTCCATAGACGATTCTCCACATGGAAGTGATGGAAATCGTTGGAAAGGTCCACTAAGAGCTCCAATATCTCTTGCTCTAGAAAATAGAGGTCTAAGGGGTTGGATGGATTAGTTTGAGCAATGATCCTATGGCCTCCAAGGCTTGAGTCTCACTGGCTAACCCCCTGTTTCTGAGATCAAGTCTTGGTTGATAGCTTTCACCTTGGGAAAGGGTTAGCTAGGCATTGAGAAGCTCAATATCAAGAGATACCTTGATACAAGTAGTTTGAGAGCAAGATTGATTAAGTATAGCCTTCCTCTGATTGCAAAACCCTGTCTTAGACCCTATTGTTCTCATTAGCTTGTTAAAGTCGCTGCCTTTATTGCTTTTTACTTCAACTCGACCCTAAACTCGATCGAGCTCGGTACTCTGTTCCAACTCGACTCGAGTCCTTGGTCGAGCTGTTGCTCTACTGCTTTATTTACTTACTGCATTTCATTTCTGTTTCATTTAGGTTGCTAGTGTACCTTATATCTATTACTGCTTGCTTGACTTTCGTGTAGTTTCATATTCTCATAGAGTGACAAGTATTCCCATTTTGGATTGATAACCTCTTATACTACATTGACTATGATGGTTAAGAGGAATTGATTGATTGTGATTGCACCATACCATTTCATCTTTATTCACCCCTGTTTGCATTCCACCTCATTTCATATCATCCTTCATTCATATCACTTCACATCCACGTAAAATCCTATCATCAGTCGCCAAGAGAGAATGAAAAGAGCTTGCACTTAAGGTAGTCAGCAGAGACTCCATTGGATCTTGTAGTGCTGCAAATTTCTTCAAAGTTTTCTATGTGATCAAGAGGGTGCTCAGCTGGAAGTCCATTGAATTGGTTCTGTCTAACCAATGCTATGATCTGAGGCTTGATCTCATAGTCATTCCTTGCAGGAAGTGGTGGATGGATAGGGTTTCTATCCATGAAGAAAGCATCGGCAGAGTCATAGTCTCCGATTGTAGGTGCTCCAGCTTGGGTTGTGCATTCACATCTCCAGCAGGGTCTTGTGGATTAGGAGGAGGAGGAGGTGGATCTCTTCCTTCTTCTTGAGCGCGCGCCACTTCAGCGGCGTGAGCGCGAGCTGCTTCGTCGGCCATCTCTTGGGCTTTCTGCTTCCTAAGTTGCTTCTCAAGCTTGTCTATCTCTGGATGTTCAACTAGGTTGTCCTTGTTGGACCTCCTAGTCATGCACCTGAAAAGAGTCTTGGAAACAAGTTAAATCAAAAGGGAAAAACAAAAACAAAAGCAAAAATCAAAGAAAAGAAATCAAAAACTAAAAATTCAAAAGCAAAAGAAAAGTAAAACAGGAAAAGGTTCTAGACTAGATCCTAGTCGAGTTCCAAAGGTACTGCTGCAGTCCCCGGCAACGGCGCCAAAAACTTGATGCGGAGTCAGGTTTTACCAAACTCCTAGACCTCTGCAAGTGCACAGATCGCGGAAGTATGGGTATCGAACACAAGGACTGGCTATTGAGTACACTTTGAAACTATGGATTTTGGATCAAGCTAAAACAAAAGTATGATTGAGGTTGTAATGGTGAACCGAACTAGCAAGTATAACGAGGTTGTAAATCAATAAAGGAAAAGCGCTAGGTCATAGGGGCTATCGCAGAGAAGCAAGCAATGATCAATGAAACAATGATAGATGAATTGATTAGGGATGTTGGGATATTAAGAACCATCTAGAACACAGATCACGAATATAAAACCATTCCACTTTCGAGGCTCCGGCTCCTTTGTTAATCTACCTAGTCGCTAAACTTTTGGTATGTCCCTAGGTGATTAAATCAAGCTTTAGAATGAATAGGTTCTGATACAGTTCACTAGATATAGTAGATCAACTTTCGCAGTCTAAGAAACCTAGCTTGTCAAAGAATATGTCCGGCGAATGATACAGCACTGTCGAGGCTCAAATCAACCTAAGATCGGATTACTAGATGCGCGGTAAAGCAATCAGCATTAGTTAAGTGCACAAGACGAGACAAAGACTCTAATATAATCCCTAGCTAATCATTGAAATCAAAGATCATGCAAGCAACTCATTGAATAGTAACCCTAGCAACCTAACTAGTGGATTACTCAGACATGATCAAAGCAAACACACATAGAGATGAAGAAAACATGATTGCAATAAAACTTAGAGTAGGAAATCGAAATACAAGGGCGGCTCTCTTTTCACAAGAGGCTAAAAAGCTATATATATAGTGCTAGGTCTTTTGAGGCGGCTTAGGGTTAAGCCGGGCTTGAAAATATGAAATGGGCTTCAAAACGGGCTTCGGGTCGACCGCGGCGTTCGGACGGTCGCGGACGATATTCTGGCCGAGCGTGGAACGTTCGTTCCTCGGCCAGCCGGACTGCACGGTTGGGCGCTGATTCTCGATAGAGCCGTCTGGAGCAGTCTTCACTCTTTTGGTTGTAACTCCGCTTCTACTCATCCAAATTAGGCCCGTTCCAGTTCCGTTGGAAAGTTAACTCAATAAGAGCACGCAGGGAACTGGTCTTGATGAAATCCATTGAGTAGATATTTTTATGGGCCCTCCTAAAGTTGGTGCTTGTGCATGGAGCGGCTTGAAGTGAAAATCCTATGGTTTTGCTCCAAAATGCATCATTTCACCTGTTTAGACTCTAGACACTATAAACACAGTAAAACTACCTTTTTAGATAGAAAACCTGCCAAAAACCATTAGAAAACAATGCTAAAACAGTATAAAAAGTAGGTAAATTAGAGGTATATCACTGGTGAAACCAAAGAAGAAGTACACAACTTTTTCAGAAGGCACGATTTCCCATGCCCCTCATGCAGTCAATCAACCATCATCACCACCATCACACCACACCGAAGTGGTATGTCAATTCCATATCAAGAGAGAAGCTTGCTGAGTTCAATCAGTTTGTCCAAACTCTTCCAGCCAGCATGTTTCCAACAAGCTTGGCGCCACTACCCATTCACCACCTTCTTCCACAACTGCAGAGAGACACCCAGGACATCAAAGAGCTTTTTGAGAAAGCTAAAGTTCAGCCTACCTTCAAGACCCTCTACAAGATTGAAGACCCAGGTCAATTCTCTATTCCCTGTCAAGTAAATGGTCATTACTTTGATAGAACACTATGCGATTCTGGCTCTTGCATAAACCTCATGCCAACCCAAACCGCCAAACTCCTTGGCATCACACGCTTGCAACCTGCTCAAATTAGTATTGGACTTGCTAACCATACTATAGCCAAGCCAAGAGGAGTTGTTATTGATGTTCTTCTAGAGATTGGAGATATCAAGATCCCGGTGGATTTTCATGTCATGAACATCAAAGGAGGATGTGACACACCATTGATACTAGGCCGACCCTTTTTGGCCACTGCTGGAGCTGTCATGGACCTTCCAAACAGGCGAATGTCCTTAGCCAATGTTGACAAGACAGTCTTTTACAAGACCATACCATTCATCTCACCAAACAAGCTGTCTTACTTCATCACTGCCCAAGGCCGCCCAAGAGAACCACCAGACCACACTCAAGGTCACAATGAGACAAGAACTAAAAGACTATGTCTCAGGCCGTGCCCTTACCCCATCTCCAACTAAGAGATCCTATCAGTCAAGCTAATGACTCAAAACAAGCGCTGCATGGGAGGCAACCCATGAAAGGTGTTTTTCTTATCTTTTCTTTTCAATTAGTTTTAGTTAATGTCTAGTTTTGTTTTGAGTTTTGGATACAGGAATCTAAGAACCACACAATGATAAAGAAGATATACCACAAGAAGAATGTTCATAGTTGGCGCGACTTGATGGCCGAGCAGAACCTCTCCACGCTCGCCCATGTCCTCTCAAGCCGCCCAACACACCATCCCATCTCATTCCATCTGCATCTCACCCATCCCACCTCACCACACTTGCATTCCATACTCTACCATCATTCCACTGCATTCACCATTCTTCAGTAACACACCAAATCAGGTTACATCTTTCTTTTTACATTCACAATCGCCTTATTACCTCTTTCTTTAACTCCCTTAATTGGATTTTCTTTCACCGGGACGGTGCAAGTTAAGTCTGGGGGGATTGTCGGTACTAATGTGTTTGTTCATGATTGTTTTGATCTTAAATTGGTTTTTCCTCACCCACTTTTTCAAAACTTCTGTTTTATTGAGTCAAAACCAGTAGGAAACTATGAACTTGCTTTGAGGAAGCTTACCATATCAACAATCTATGTGATCATAAGCGAATCCAACACCGAACAGCCTAACAGAAGCTCCTAAGGGTGGATCGACCTAGCTCAGCGAAATTTCTAAGGTAACCAAGCAATCTAGAGTTAACCTCACCCTTAATCAATCTTAATAATCTTGTCAAGGGGCTTGAGATTCATGTGAGTCGACTCCTCATCTGAGTTTTCAGTTGAGATATGTCTAGAAAAGAAACAGTCCATCCTCTCTCTTATCTGCAAAAGAAAGATCAAAAGCTCTAAGAGCACAAGGAAAACAAGTAAGCATGAGGAATGCATACTTCTGTACCTTCATGTCTTATGGAATACCTTATACACAAGGAGGAAGCTCAATGCCAATCCATGTATCCCACAAAGAGAAATCTTAAGGGAAGGAGGATCGATAGAAAAAATAAAATGATACCCTAGAAAAGTAGGGAAAAATCGATTCTTCAAATGATAAGAGAGAAGGAGAGAGGTTTGGTACTGAATGAGCAAGAAAGACTATCTTGGCAAAGACTTGGATGGGTAAGAATCAATGCTCTGTGATCAATACTCCCTTGATAAAGACCACACGCTTTAAATACTGCAAGGAGTTAGCAATAGAGAGTTTGGAATACTGGATGAGATTTGTTGGGTCCGGTATGGTTCGCTAAACTTAAGGTCAGTGTGATAGCCAGTTTCAAAGTTGGTTTGTCCCAAATAGAGCAGAGCAATGGGAGATACAAGTTCAAAGATAAGTGAGTTTTCGTGTTTTCAAAACCTCTTCACTAGTTTAGATTCGATTTGCTTGGGGACAAGCAAAGATCTAAGTCTGGGGGAGTTGATATACCTCTATTTTACATGCTTTTTATGCTATTTTACTATGGTTTTCTAATGGTTTTCTAGTGGATTCTTGTCTTAAAAGGTAGTTTTTATGGATTTATACTGCAAAGAGTCATTTTAGGTCAAAAGGTGCATTATGGAGCAAAACAAGGATTTGGACTTCAAACCAGTCCAATGCCACAGCATCAACTTTGGGAGGAGCTTAAAAAAATCTACTCAATGGATTTCATCAAGACCACTTCCCGCGTGCTTGAGTGAGTTAACTTTCCAACGCAAGTGGGGGTATCATTTGGATGAGTAGAAAAGGAGTTATGATCAAAATAGTAAAGACTGGTCCAAGCAGCTCTATCCAGAAGCCGCGGCCGAACCGAGCGGAACGGCCGGCCGAGGAACATCCGTCCCACGGTCGGCCAACATCCGAACGCTCATCCGTCCTGCCTGAACAACGGGACTGAGGAGATGGTTCAATTCATCCTCAACGCACATTCCTCCTCTTTGCTCTCCGGTTATCTTTTGTTTCTCTGTTTGCGCTAGAGGAAATAATGTCTCAAGCGAATGCTCTCAAGTCAGGCGGCTCAAACAAATGGAAAGAGACCCTGAGGCCAAGGTTGAGGTTAAAACTCCCTCATTTTGACAACTCGGAGCTGATCAAGGGCTACTCTACAACCTTGATTGGCAGGTGTATGAATCCACAGAAGCAGGATGTGAAGTCTCTAATCTTCATCTTCCCTCGCATATGGAATATGGAGAATCGGGTGACTGGAGCTGACTTGGATCTTGGACGGTTCCAATTCGACTTCGACGAGGAGGAGGATATCATCGAAGTGCTGAAGATGGAACCTTTCCATTTCGATTCCTGGATGGTGTCGCTGGTCAGGTGGCAGACGGAGTTTGATCCTTTATACCCATCAGAGATAACATTCTGGGTTAGAGGTTTGGACCTCCCACTTCAAGTCTGGGCAGAACTAACACTGCACACCGTTGGCAATGGTTCAGGCGAAGTGAAAGCCGTTGATATCGATGGTGGTCAGGTTCAAGTTGGGGTAAACGGGATTAAGCCTCTCCACTTTGAAACAACGCTTGAGATTCAAGGAGGTCATGAAGTTCAACTTGTTTTATGATATGAGCGCTTATTCGGTTTCTGCAAGGAATTTTTGAGTCTTTGTCATGACGTAGAGCAGTGTCCTCTCCTCTATTCACACCGAGTAGAACGAGACCGGATCAGAAGGAGGGAAGTGAAAACTGAATCAAGGGCGTTAAGCTACAAAGGAGTGGTCAAAAGCTCTGCTAGTGACGCAGGGAGATTCAAACATGAGGAGAGAAGGGCTGACTATAAAGGTACAGGCAAGATGGTGGAGTCCAGAGACGAACAAGGCCAGAGGCAGACTGAGAATCGGGGATGAATGAGATCTGAGGGACATGATGGAGAGGGTCCATCTCATTATCGAGCTCCCTCCACCTATGTGCCGTATAAGGAAATGCAGAAACGGTATGGTGGTGGCTTGAGGGGCTCTCAGAAATTAATTGAGGAACAAAACCAGGCTCATGCGGCCAAGATCAATGAAGCCAAGACCAACGGGGAAACCAAGGTGATGAACCAGGTCGCTGGGACATCTCATCCATCTAGCCCCACTTATCACTCTGCCAAGAAGGTACGCAAAGCTCTTTGATTTGAAGAGGAAATCCCAGCGATAGATGCGGTAGAGATCACAGATCCTGAGGTCGTTTCTGCTTTAGTTCCGGAAATGTGTCGATTTAGGTGTTGTTGTAGGGGATTCACCTTTTAAGGAAACGGGGGACATGGTGGATGATGATGAGGAATTTCCTTTGGATGACCTCTTAGATGACGAGGAAGAAGAGATTGGAGGGGAGATAGATGATACTATGGCTCTGGTCCCGATAACTGAAACGGAAGCAGCCGCGGAGGTTATGATGGAAGAGGCACAAGACCAGAAGGTCGAGCAGGGTGGTGACAGGGCAAAACAGAGTGAACGAAAGGCTGGGGTCAAGAAGAAAGCCTTCAGGACAACGTTGGAGTGGGTGGAGGAGTGATGAGAGGTTTGGCTCATGTCTGCAAAACACCAAGAAAGAAAGGAGCAGGAAAGGCTGGACTTGGGGACAAGGTGGGGGCCAATGCAAGAAAGGATGTCAACTGATGTACTTGCATTTTGCATGGTTTTAGTACATCTTTTATGCATCTTTTGCATATTTTTAGCATCCTTTAGCATCATATATTGTTCCTTTTCTCTTCTTGTGCATTCATAGTAGTTTTAGGTTGCATTTGCATACATATGCATGTTTGGCCCTTGGAATAGGTCTTTTGGAGCACTTTGGAGCATATGGGACGTGAGGAGCATGGAAGGACTTGGTGCATGGACGCAGCTCAACTGGACACGCAAAGGAAGAAAGAGGAGGCCATCTTGAAGACCAGCTCGACCACCTACTCGACCACCCGGTCGAGTTCCTCAACTGGACCGGCCAAGTTCAACTCGATCGAGCTGAGAAGTCAAAGTCAAACCCGAAAAATGTTGCTTCCCCCTTGACTTGTCTTTGGCCCTAAACCTAAATCCTCTTGTATTTAAAGGCTAAAAGCCACGAAAAAACAACGAAGCTTTAGATTACTTTTGTTTTAGTTTCTTTTAATTATTGTCTTTTACTTTTTAGAGCTCTTAATCCAATCTTTGTGTTCTTCACTACAAGAAAAATGAGCATTCAGAGCACATTAGCATAGCACGGATTTAACAACTGCTATCAATATTAGTTGTAATTATGTTTTACATAAAATAGCGTTAAACTAGTGCTAAAACAAAGAATCAATAAGCGGGAAGTTAAAATGATTTATTATGCCAACACTTAAGCAAAATTAGATGATTTCCGCCAAAACTAAATGAGAAATTAGATTAGCTTTTCCCCTTTCCACCAAAAGATCTAGAAACACCGAGTCCGACCTATTGACTCAGACGACCTCGATTCCGGCGGTATCTCTCTTCCGTCCCACATACGACGCCGTCGCTGCCGCCACTATCAAACCTCGTCGCATCCTCTAACCTTACCGGAGGCCACATTATCGTCATTTGTCAACGGCGGTATTGTCCAAATCTGTCAGAAGTGTTTATCAAAATCTGAGGTAATTCCTTGGAGCTCTTAATGCGAAATCTGTCAGATATACACGATTTTACTGTTGCTTTTGATTTCGCGGATCGAATTGTCCACATTTGATTCCTTTAGATTTCACATGCATTCCTTTGTTGCATGTGTGGGATTTGTTCTTCTCCTTTCAATAGATTCGGTTAATTTAAACTAGAGAAACCCTTTGATTTTGTTAATTACTTAGCCTTTCGTTTATGTTTTGCGAGTATTGGTGATCGGAGAATCGGAATTAGCTAAGCATAAGCATCACTTCTCCGAATTGCAGGATAGGTTAGTCATATCAATGAACGGATTCGTAGATTACTTTCGAACAGATTCATATTGTCAATGCATCTCCTGAGATTGATTAATCTAGTTTATTTATTTCGTTATTGTACTTCAGTTTGATGGTGGACTCTGCAAACAATGCATTCATTTAGATTTGCTTCGTCTAGCTTTTACATCTCTGTGAATGTTTGATTTTTCTTTGTGTTTTTGCTTATGTTGCTGCTGTTGTGTGACTTACAATGTTTCAATTAAGGTTTATTTGATAAAATGCTGGACAAGAGATGGGTGAGTCTTTGCAGGTATGGAATTTAGTTAAACTTGGTAGTTTTAGTTGGTGATTATGGAATTAAGAGTGTTTACTCTCCTCGGTTTTCTGCATTGAAGAGCTGATCCAGATTATGAGAGAGGGGCTTGGAATTTTGTACGGACAGTGTCTGCGAGTTCAGGACAGATTGATGTCATAGTGTGCCCTTGCGTAGATTGTCGTAACGTGGATCGTCACTCGAGCAGTGATGTTGTTGCTCATCTTGTGACAAGGGGAATGGATGAGGCGTACAAGCATTGTAAGCACTGGTATCATCATGGAGAAGTAACTTCAGAGTCTACAAGTGGAAGAAAAACACATCAGTGGAATGAGGAGATTGTTGGGCTGTTTAGAGCGGCTGAAGATTTTGCTGATGAGTATGTACCTTCTGATTACTTAGGAGATATTGCAGAGGGAGAAGATAAGGAAGAAGACGAGTTTTTAGCTAAGCTAGCAGATGCAGAAACACCTTTATATCCTACCTGCATAAACCATAGCAAGTTATCAGCTATCGTCTCCCTATTTAGCCTAAAGACACATAATGGGTGGTCTGACAAGAGCTTCAATGATCTTCTGGAGACGTTGCCTGAAATGTTACCGGAAGACAATGTTCTCCATACCTCATTGTACGATGTGAAGAAGTTTTTGAAATCATTTGACATGGGATACGAGAAGATACATGCGTGTGTAAATGATTGCTGCTTATTCAGGAAGAAGTACAAGAAGCTCGACAACTGTCCTAAATGCAGTGCTTCGCGGTGGAAGGCTAATAGGCACATGGGAGAAGTGAAGAAAGGCGTGCCACAGAAAGTTCTCAGGTACTTCCCTATAATACCTAGGCTGAAGAGGATGTTTAGGTCAGAAGAAATGGCTAAAAACTTGAGGTGGCACTTCAGAAATAAAAGCAGGGATGGAAGACTCCGTCATCCCGTTGATTCTGTGACTTGGGATCAAATGAATCACAAGTATCCTTCATTTGCTGCTGAAGAAAGGAACATACGTCTAGGTCTTTCAACAGACGGTTTCAATCCGTTTAGCATGAAGAACACTATGTATAGCTGCTGGCCTGTTCTGATGGTTAATTATAATTTACCTCCGGATTTGTGTATGAAGAAAGAGAACATCATGCTCACACTACTTATTCCTGGTCCACATCAGTCTGGCAACACTATTGACGTCTACTTGGAACCTCTGATGGATGATTTAAGGCATTTGTGGAGTAATGGAGAGGTAACATATGATGCCTTCAGCAAGAATACTTTTAATCTGAAGGTGATGCTGCTATGGACCATAAGCGACTTCCCTGCTTATGGCAATCTAGCCGGATGTAAAGTGAAAGGCAAAATGGCTTGTCCTGTTTGCGGGAAGAACACAAATAGCAAGTGGTTAAAATTTGGAAGAAAGCACGTGTATATGTTTCATAGGAAACGTCTACCACCAACACATAGATTTCGGACTAAGAAGACAATGGAGCATGGGAGAAGTCTAGGATATTGACTGGTCGTGACATTTCCAAACACCTTAAGAACTTCAAAAACGATTTTGGGAATGTCAAAGGATCTGGAAACAAAAGAAAAAGGAATGTATATCTGGAAACATGCACTGACAGTGACGATGAATCCGATGAATCAGAGGAAGAGGAAAACGTATTTGTAGATGAAGATGAGGTCTGGAGATGGAAAAAAAAATCAATTTTCTTCAAGCTGCCTTACTGGGAGGTACATTTACTCACACGAAGATCAATTTGCCTTAAATTTGTTTATCATACGATATTTCAATATTACATAAGCTTTCTCTTACTTAGCTTTTGTTTCTTTGTACTTTCAGGAATTACCGGTTAGGCATAACTTGGATGTAATGCATGTGGAGAAAAATGTTGTTGCGAGTATTGTCTCAACATTACTTCATTGCGGGAAATCTAAAGATGGTCTTAATACTCGGAAGAAATCTAAATATTGTCCCATGTCTCTTCACGAATACCATCTCTCTCCCAACAGACTTTTAACTGACTTTACTTTCTTTCCATGAACTTCCGTTTCTCGACGGTCCAAGATTTCTACCGGCTTACTCGTAACACACAAGTTTTGACCCACGTCCAATGGCGGCTGAGCTAAGATCATCTCTGGTTCCCGAACCACTTTTCTCAAAACAGATACATGAAACACATCATGAAAATCCGATAACTCTTGTGGTAAGTCCAACCGATAGGCAACAGCCCCTATCCTCTCTATGATCTTATACGGCCCCATGAACCTTGGCCTCAACTTTTTCAGCTTACGATTCTTATCGGTTCCTCGGAACGTCCTCATTTTTAGATACACAGCATCACCAACTGCAAACTCTAAATCTTTTCTATGCTGATCCGCATAACTTTTCTGACGGTCGTGAGCTTCTTTAAGCCTCTCTTTTAGCAACTCAACTTGCTCTACTGTTTCTTGAATCATTTCCGGCTCTAAGTCTCGTCTTTCCCCAACTTCGGTCCAACACAGTTGGGTACGACACGGTCTCCCATATAGAGCCTCATATGGAGCCATTCCGATACTGGAGTGAAAACTGTTATTATAAGCAAATTCCACCAATGGGAGGTACTTTCCCCATTTTCCTTCCCAGTCTAGCACACAAGCTCTCAACATATCCTCAAGTGTCTGAATCGTCCGCTCGGACTGTCCGTCGGTCTGCGGATGATATGCGTACTCAGATGCACCTTGGTGCCCAACGCTTTCTGAAAAGCTTGCCAAAAGATTGATGTGAATTTCGGATCCCGATCCGACACAATGCTCACCGGCACTCCATGTAATCTCACCACTACATCCAAATACTTTTGCGCCAACTATCTGCCCCATCCGTTTTCTTGATGGCAAGGAAGTGAGCTGATTTGGTAAGTCTATCCACAATTACCCAAATCGCATCCTTATTTCCGGTGGTCTTTGGTAGCCCGTAACAAAATCCATTGTCACCATGTCCCATTTCCATTCGGGCAACGGTAAATCTTGCAGTAACCCACTTGGTACTCTGCGTTCTGCCTTAACCATCTGACATGTCTGACACTATGAAACCCACACGGCGATGTCTCACTTCATCCTGTCCCAATGGTAGTAGCGTTTCAAATCCCGATACATTTTCGTATTTCCCGGGTGAATCGAAAATGTCGAAGTATGAGCCTGACGCAAGATCTCATCCTTCAAGTCCTTGTTGTATGGCACACTCACTCTGTCTCTGAACAAGTAAGTCCCGTTTGCAGCAATACGGTATCCGGAAACTTCCTTGTCAAGCAACTTCCGCAAGGTAACATCCTTTTGCTTTGCTTCGTAGATCCTCCAAAGTAAATCCGCCTGATCTAGGGCTTCTAACCTAACTGATTCTCCGTCCATGGTTATAGAACACAACCTCAAAGTAGCCAAAGTAGCAACGAGCTCTTGCACTTCTTTGCCTTCGGAAACGTCTGCCTTACCTCTAGTAAGAGCGTCTGCTACTTGGTTAGCTTTCCCGGGATGATAAAGTATATCTAAGTCGTAATCCGCCAACAACTCAGTCCATCTCCGCTGCCTCAGATTCAGCTCTCCCTGAGTGAAAATGTACTTTAAGCTCTTGTGATCCGTAAAAATTTGTACCCTCTCTCCGTACAGATAAGAACGCCATATCTTAAGAGCAAAAACCACGGCAGCAAATTCAAGGTCGTGCGTCGGATAATTAACCTCATTAGGCCTCAGCTGCCTTGACGCATAAGCAATCACCTTCTCTTCTTGCATAAGCACACATCCCAATCCCGTTCCGGATGCATCTGTGTACACTACATATGGCAATCCCGGCTTAGGTAGCACAAGCACAGGAGTCTGGGTCAAGTGATCCTTCAGGTTCTCGAAACTCTTTGCACATGCCTCAGACCAAATAAACTTGACATCCTTCCCAGTCAACTTTGTCATCGGTTTAGCCATACTTGCAAAATCTCTCACGAACTTTCGGTAGTAACCCGCTAATCCCAAGAAACTACGAACTTCGGTGGCACTTTTTTGGGGTCGGCCAATTAGTAATGGCGGTTATCTTTTCGGGTCAACAGGAACTCCTGCTTCTGACACTACATGCCCCAAAAATCTGATTTTCCTCTGCCAAAAACTGCACTTGCTCGACTTTGCTTACAACTTTTGCTCTCTCAGCTTATCCATCACAACTCGCAGATGCAACTCATGCTCCCTTTTACTCTTTGAGTAAATCAAGTACTCCCGAAAAACATTGTTCATCAACTTCATGAAAGCTGATGGCGCATTGGTCAGTCCAAACGGCATTACTACAAACTCATAATGACCATAGCACGTCCGAAAAGCCGTCTTCCTCACATCATTCTCGGCTATCGGAATCTGATGGTAACCTGATGCCAAATCTATCTTAGAAAACCAAGACGCTCCTTGTAGTTGGTCCAACAACTCATCGATCCTTGGCAACGGGTACGGTTCTTTATCGTCACTTTGTTCAATCCCTGATAATCGATACAGAGTCTGAAACTTCCGTCCTTTTTCTTGACGAATAACACCGGCGCTCCCCACGGTGAACTACTCGGTCGAATGAAGCCTTTTTCAGCCAAATCTTCTAACTGGTTCTTGAGCTCAGCCATTTCCGCTGTCGCTAACCGGTAAGGTGCCTTCGATATAGGTGCGGTTCCCGGCTCCAACTCTATCGTGAATGCATCACCTCGGTGTGGCGGTGGTCCCGTCAACGGTTCAAACACGTCCTCGTATTCCGCTACCACCGGTATGGTACTCAACACCGGTGTCGACTCTTTCTCATTCATAGTAATGGTGGCAAGATATGCTTCAGCTCCTTTCTCCAATAACTCCTCTGCTTGCAGCATCGAAATAATGGAAATTCCGCTATTTCTCTTGATCCCTTGGAACACCAACTTCCCTTCTGTCCTCGGGATATGTACCCGTGCTCGCGGACAATCAAGTACAGCTCGATGTTTCGTCAACCAATCCATTCCGAGAATCACCTCGTAGTGATTCAACTCCATTTTCACAAGATTTCCGAGCATCTCCACACCTTCTAGCACTATAGGGTACTTCTTCATAAACCCCGGTAGACTTCACCCTCTCATCTCCGGCTGTCTCGATCTCTTTCGCCCTCGAGACAAAAACGCCCTTAAAGGTCCAACACTTTGTCAGTGTCGGACACAAAGCTATGCGTAGCTCCTGTGTCAAACAAAGCTAGGCAGACTCGACCGATTGGGCTTGGAGATGCACCAAACCGCCACCAGCAAAGAAGAGGGATTGTCCCACCTCCTGTCCAGAACCACAATTTCGAGATCAAGCTGGGGATGATTACCTTAGTCCAGAACAAGATGTTCCATGGATTGTCTTGTGAAGATCCCATTGATCACTTGGATGAGTTTGATAGGCTGTGTGATCTGACCAAGATGAATGGTGTCTCTGAAGATGCCATCAAGCTGAGACTCTTCCCTATGTCTCTTGGTGACAAGGCCCATCAATGGGAGAAGAGTTTACCCCATGGATCAATCACTACATGGGAGGATTGCAAGAAGGCATTTCTTGCCAAGTTCTTCTCTACTGGTCGCACTGCTAAGCTGAGAAGCGAGATATCTGGTTTCACTCAAAGGAACAATGAGACATTTGCTGAAGCTTGGGAGAGATTCAAGGGTTACACCAGTCAATGCCCTCATCATGGCTTCAGCAATGAGTCTTTGCTTTCCACACTTTACAGAGGAGTTTTGCCAAGATACAAAGAGATGTTGGACACAGTAATGGAAACTTCCTCAATCAAGATGTAGATGATGGCTGGCAGCTTGTGGAGAACATTGCTAACTCAAGTGGGAGCTATGGAGAGGAGTATGATCGCACAAACAGGAGCTCGACCTCCAACTCGATCGAGTCTGATAGTAAGCTGAGAAACGATGTCAAGGCACTCAATGAGAAGTTGGATACGCTTATCTTAGCTCAATCCACAATGAAGAAGGCCAACTTTGTTTCTAAAGAAGAGATGGTTCAAGGCCAAGAAGAGGAGGAGAATCAGTTTGCTGAAGTGTGCTACATTAAGAATGGACAAGGAGGTTATCAAAACGGTTACTATGGCTACAAGTCACACCCTACCATGTCCTACAGTAACACTGATGTTGCCAATCCTCAAGATCAAGTCTACCCTCCGCAGCAACAGGCTCCAGCGAGTCAGCCTCCACAGCAAGGATATGGTCAGAAAGGGAATTTCCAGGGCCATCAGGGAAATTATCAAGGACAACAGCAGAGTGTACCAACTGGGTATGCACCTCAAGCGCCTCAGGCTTCACCAAGTCAGGAACAAGAAATAAAAGCCATGTTGAAGCAGCTCTTACAAGGTCAAGCAGATGGTGCTATGGAGACAAGCAAGAAGTTGGCTGAGATGAACTCTAAGATTGAATCCTTGAACACTAGAGTTCACTCTTTGGAACACCATGCTTCTTCTTCTGCTGCTAAGCAAGGTCAATTTCCTGGAAAGGCTGTTCAGAATCCAAAGGAGCATTGTAGAGCGATCTTCACTCAAGAGGAAGGATTTGATCAACAAGCTGCTAATGAGAAGGATATTGAGGAGATCTGTATGCTGCTTAATAATGAAGACAATGTTGTTGCTGATGCTCCTGGAGTCCAGTACGCTCAACCTGAAGTGCAAGCTCCTCAGATAGCTATCCACGCTTCACCGGTTGAGCTCGCACAACAAGCTCGATTGGCAGCTCGATCGAGCCAGACCGTCTCACCAGCTCGATCGAGTCAGATGCTTTATGCTCCAACACCATCTGATGATGACACCTACAAGCCCCCTGTTCCATTTCCAAGTAGAATCCTTACCAAGAATCAGAAAAAAGTCATCACCAAGTTTAGGAATGACATGAGTAAGATTGGGGTTGAGCTACCAAATATGGGAAGTTTTCAAGCTGCTCATGTCCAAAAGAAGATGATTAAGGACATACTTGATAACAAGGACGAAGTAGCTCAGCTTTTGGAGCCCTCTTCTTCCCAGGGTGATCTCTTATCCACACCAACCTCACTACCCAAGCTGAATGGTCAGGGAAGCTTCACTCTGCCTTGTACACTTGGTCACCTACAACTTGAGGATGCACTTGTTGATTCTGGAGCAAGTATCAATCTGATCTCTCTTGTTCTAATACAGAAATTGGGTATACAGAGTCTGATCCAGCGACCTAAGTCTTCTATCATGTTTGGGGATGCTTCTTCTAAAGCCCCACTTGGTATTGTCATGGATTTCCCTTTGAGAATTGGAGAGTGCACAATCCCAATTGATCTAACAGTTCTGGATATGGTTGACGAGAAGGATGTGCCATTGATCTTAGGGACACCTTTCCTCACCACTGTTGGTGCCTCCATTGATTTCCATACAAAGAAAGTGATCCTGCACAATGTCAACAGCAAAGTCTCTTACCCTCTCAAGGCATCAAGCTCTAAATATTGTGGAACCATTGCCACTAAGTCACTGAGCATCAAGGGTGATGAGTTTGCTGAGGTTGAAAAGATGGAGATAATGACTGAGAGCAGCACAGAGCCAGTTATTTGTGAACCTTGTGTTCTGGATGAGATGGGTCTTGCAGTTTTGTTTAGTGAGCAGCTAGGAAGTGCTCAAAAAGATGGGGAGGGTATGGCTTTGAAGGCGTCTCCTGGACATAAAAGAAAGATGATCACGCCTCAGACTCTCTCAAGCGCTCCATCCCAGCTTACCCTGACTCTGTTGCCATCCAAGTTCACAAATGGGAAGATTGAGTACAAGATCAAGTGCAAGAGAAAGTCTAAACCGTTTTCCAGTATCAATGCCTTGGTCAGTCCTGAGCTGCAAAAAGATCAAACCAAGCTCAAGGAGCTCCTATCTTCAGTCCTTACTGTCACATTTGATGGCGGGACCGCTCTCATTCATGCCTAAAAGGTAAAAGGTCAAGCTATGCGACCTAAAACAAGCTCACTTGGGAGGAATTCCCATGTCTATCTTGTATATAATGCTTTCATTTAAGTTCTTTGTAGTTGTTTCTGTCTAAGGCTTGCAGGAGTTAGTTCAAAAGGGAAGCTATTCTGACTCGAGCCACAGACTCGATCGAGCCCAATCCCACCATACCTATTTTGGCCCGATTGATGCCGTTATGATGCTATTGTCTCCTGCCCTCTCCAACTCATGACCTTGCTTCCCAGTTCTTTGGGGAGCACTAAGGTATCAAATATTTCTTCCCTTGTACATACCATCTCATTTTCATGCATTTTTCTTTGTTTTTCTCTTGAATCTTTCTTTGAACTTCTTTCACACAAGGGACTGTGTGATTTAAGTTTGGGGGAGGGTTCAAGAGATGATTTAACCTTGTTTATTCTGTTCTTAGTTTTTCATTCATCCATTTGCATAGAAAAACACAAAAAAATCATAAAATTTTCAAAAATACAAAAATATTTTCATCTTTTTGCATTCATATCTCTTAGAATTGTTTAGGATTGCATCTTTCATTTGCATTATTGATTTGATCTTGAAAACTTGTTATCATTTGCGATTTCTTAAGTGCCCATCTTCTAGATTCTCTTTGTGCATTAGGGTGAGATTGATTGAGCAGCAAGTACCATGTTTATCTTGATCATATCACTGCATCAACATCTCATTCAACCATTGCTGTGATTTGATGCATCTCCCTAATCTATTTGAACCATAATTTGATCTTTAATTACCAATGCTTGCATTTGATTTCAACTCATGGCTACCACATACATATCTGGACATTCTTTACCTATTTTCATATCCCTCTTGCTTGTCCAGATAGCTGATCTCCAACTTTGAGACAGTTACCCCACCTTAAACCTAAGCCTTTTTCATTTCAAACCCCATATTATCTCTTGTGCGATTGTGAGAACCTTTCTTGGCTTTGCTTAGCATAAGGTGTTGTGTTTAAACCGGCAGGGGCAGTAGTTCTAGTTGTCTAGTTCTCTTGGGATTGTTTTCAGGCTAAGTTTGGGGGTGCCAACTCGAGCTCGATCGAGTTGAGGGTAAAAACCAGAAAAGTGGTAAAATTGGGAAAATCCAAAGGAAAAAGAGTTTAGTTAAGTCCAGGGAGTTGGCAGTGTTAAAAAAAGGGTCTAGTAAAGGTTTGGGAAGTTAAAAAAAGAAAGTGAAAAGGGTTCTAAGTAGAAAGAAAAGAAGGCAAAGCCTCAAGTGTCAAAAAGTGAAGAAAAGTTCCCTAAGTGTTTAGAAGATCCCAACCGCTAGATGTTACCTCAAGAAGCCTCTCCCTAGGATGTTCTTAAAAGAAAAGTGAGCAAAGCTCCTCAGTTTCAAAGGCGAAATGCCAAAAAGGGTAGTTAGGATTTTGTTCTAAAAAGCTCTAAGTGTTGAACTCGATCGAGTTAGGATTAGGCGGCTCGAGTTGCTGTCCTTGCACCATCTTTGGTTCTAACACTTAGCCTTCTGCCAAAGCAAAGCCACTTTCTTGAGAGATCCCTGTTACTAAACCACCATACAAAAGAGACCTCTTTGTCTCTTAACCCATAAACCCTTGAAACCAAATGAGTTGATTGATCTTGCATGTTTTTGGTTCACTGTTTTTGCTTAATGAATGTTAAAGGGATTTGCTGATTTGAATGCATTGTTTGAGTGACTGTGAAGTGGGATTGATGTTGATAAGCATGGTTAAGATCTTAATGAATATCTCTCACCTTGTTGCATTCTAGAATCTCTAAGTTGGACATTTAGCAAATCGCTTTTGAGGACATGTTTTTAAGGTTGAATCAACTTTTTTTCAAACCTCATCCCTTTCTTGTTCTATTTGTTTGCTTGAGGGCAAGCAAAGGTCAAGTTTGGGGGTGTTGATGTACTTGCATTTTACATGGTTTTAGCCCTTCTTTTATGCATCTTTTGCATAGTTTCATTCACCCAAGCATCATTTCTTGATGTTTTCCCTTCTTTTGCATACATAGTAGTTTTAGGCTTGCATTTGCATACATGTGCACGTTTGATGTCTTAATCAGGTCATTTGGAGCTAATTGGAACATTGCCTATCACTGGAGACTAGTTGAGGAAGGAAAGACTCTGTCTGCCCCATGTACGGACCCGCACTCGGTCGAGCTAGTGAGATGCGTCCGAAGTATCGTATCAAATGAAGGGTTTCCACTCCGATTCAGCCTCTGACTTCTTCTTGGAAGTTGTGGATAATTGAGTTAGCTTTCGTCTGGAGGTGGTTTCATGTCATTCGGACCAGCGGTTCAGAAGATACGACGATATTGGTTGGACTCGACCCACCAGCTCGACCGGCCAGTTTCCAACTCGATCGAGCTGCTTTTCCAGGAGTCAAAGTCAAACCCGAAAAATGTTGCTTCCCTTTGACTCCCCTTTGACCCTAAACCTAGTTTGCTTTACTATAAATGGCATTGAGCCACGAATTAAACATAGCTTTTGCTCAACTTTTATTTAATCTTGTATTTGCATTTCCCTTTTTACTTTTTAGCCTCTCTTTGTGTTCTTGAGCTCTTGCTCATTGAACCTTAGATCTAGGCTTTATTATTGTATTTCTGCACTTCTCTATTTCAATAAAAGTTGTTCTATATCATCTCCTCTATCTTTTGATGTTTCATTCATTGCATTTGGTTGTTTATTTCACCATGATTAGTGAGTAGTTCCCTTTAGGGCTTAAGATGGGATAGGTTAGAGGTTGTTTATGCTTAATCCTTCTTGCTTATGTTCTTAATCTAGAAATCTCTCTCTTTTGGACAAACCTTAAGGCTACATGACCACTATCCCTGGCTTGTATGTCCATAGACGATTCTCCACATGGAAGTGATGGAAATCGTTGGAAAGGTCCACTAAGAGCTCCAATATCTCTTGCTCTAGAAAATAGAGGTCTAAGGGGTTGGATGGATTAGTTTGAGCAATGATCCTATGGCCTCCAAGGCTTGATTCTCACTGGCTAACCCCCTGTTTCTGAGATCAAGTCTTGGTTGATAGCTTTCACCTTGGGAAAGGGTTAGCTAGGCATTGAGAAGCTCAATATCAAGAGATACCTTGATACAAGTTGTTTAAGAGCAAGGCTGATTAAGTATAGCCTCCCTTTAGCTGCAAAACCCTGTCTTTAACCCTAATATTCGCATTAGCATCTTAAAGTTTGCACCTTTATCGCTTTTCATTGCATTTCCTCTGTTTTTACACCAACTCGACCCTCAACTCGATCGAGCTCACCAACTCAACCCTCAACTCGATCGAGCTCATCAACTCGAAAAATCATGTGAGGACTGGTGTTGTGATATATTTTCTTCTATATTTATAATTATTATAGATTGAGTAGTGTATTGTTAATGCGTGTATACCTGCGTAGCTATATGAATACACGTATTTGTGTGGTATATTATTAAATTATTCATTATATAATATTAATAATGTGATTGATGAACCTAGTAATATAGATTGCTAAATGGAAAATGATTGTGTGATTTTATGAAAGTGTTTGCGGATGTTTGCATTGTGTGCGGGAAATCACTTGTGCGGGTTTGGGTTAAGCTTTTAGGCTTGAGGCGGTTTTGCCTGTGTGTCACACGGTAATGTGTCTGTGTGCTGGATATGGGGAGTTCCATAGTCCATCGCCGGTGGCTTGACGAGCCAGGTGTCTTGAAAGAGAGGCAGGCGTCTTGAAAGAGAGACGGACAGCGTGTTGTGCCGCTATATGCCACGGGGTGTGCGCCGGTATTGGGTGATGATGCACCAGTAGGATGAGGAGTCATTTCTTGTTGTATGAGTGTCTTCGGACTTGTGTGTATTGCGTGTATTAGCTTTAGACTTTCGTCTATGGTGGTTATAAATATACTAGAGGTATATTGTGGGTCCCGTTGGACCTACACTCACTGGGTAATTCAAATTACTCAACCCTCTTTTTTTATCTCAGGTGAGCGCGGAGGCATACAAGAGTAGTGTCTTGGCTTGGTGATGGTTTTGGGGAAGACACGGGTTTTATTTCATTATTATTATTTATTTAAAGACTTTGTTATTTAAATTTGGATTTGATATTTAAGTTTAATAATGGTTTTGTAAGACATTTTGAATACGATTCTTGGGAATAAAGTAGTATTGAACTAGCAAGTGGTTTCTTGTGGTGAAAGTTAATATACTTGGACATGCCTTCTTGGTTAAGTAAGAGGCGGGTGTCACAATTGGTATCAGAGCCTAGGGTTGCCAAACCGGTTCTGACCCGGGAGGCGGATTGAGAAAAGGAAATGTTTTCAAAACCGGTTATTTTTTTTAGTTGTTGAAATTTCAAAAGTTATTTTCGGAATATTTCATATTTTCGGATTTTTTTTGAAATGGGGAATTTTAATGAGGAAAAGTGCTAAACATCACCGAGTTGACTGAATCTCTGTATTGCTCTTGTGTTAGGTGTTGGTTTGTGCAAGTGACTGATCGCTTATTCTTCTGTATTCAGGATGCCGCCAAAGAAAGCTAAGGTTGTGAAAGTTAAGGTTGTGAGACCAGCCAGAGTTGTGCGACCCGCGGCTAGAGCTGCAAGTCCAGCTGCTTCGTCAGAAAGTGTGCATGGTAGCAATACCGAGCAAGAGGTAGTTGGTGTGAACCCTGCAGAGGCAGCCCAAGGTGTTAACCAAACTGCTGCCTATGCAGCTATGATGGAGGAGTTGCAGAGGTACCGTGAATGTTTTGGAGATCAAATGCATAATGACCCGGGAGCGGGAAATGTGCATCAGCCGGATGCGCCGTTGAATGGCCAGAACCAGGGAGTGCAGTATCCGCCGCCACCTCCACCGCCGGTTGTGCATGTGCCGGGACAAGGACCTTCGTATTGGGAACTGATGGGGCATATGAGGAATATGCAGATGGATCATTTTGATGGAAAGACAAGTGTTGTTGTTGCTGATAATTGGAGGAAAAAGCTGGAGAAGAACCTTGATGCAATCAGGTGCCTGATGTACTTGCATTTTACATGGTTTTAGCCCCTCTTTTATACCACTTTTGCATAGTTTCATTCACCACAAGCATCATTTCTTGATGTTTTCTCTTCTTTTGCATACATTGTAGTTTTAGGCTTGCATTTGCATACATATGCACGTTTGATGTCTTAATCAGGTCATTTGGAGCTAATTGGAACATTTTCTATCACTGGAGACTAGTTGAGGAAGGAAAGACTCTGTCTGCCCCATGTACGGACGAGCACTCGGTCGAGCTAGTGATATGCGTCCGAAGTATCGTATCAAATGAAGAGTTTACAATCCGATTCAGCCTCTGACTTCTTCTTGGAAGTTGTGGATAATTGAGTTAGCTTTCGTCTGGAGGTGGTTTCATGTCATTCGGACCAGCGGTTCAAAAGATACGACGATTTTGGTTGGACTCGACCCACCAGCTCGACCGGCCAGTTTCCAACTCGATCGAGCTGCTTTTCCAGGAGTCAAAGTCAAACCCGAAAAATGTTGCTTCCCTTTGACTCTCCTTTGACCCTAAACCTAGTTTTCTTTACTATAAAAGGCATTGAGCCACGAATTAAACACAGCTTTGGCTCAACCTTTAATTAATCTTGTATTTGCATTTCCCTTTTTACTTTTTAGCCTCTCTTTGTGTTCTTGAGCTCATGCTCATAGAACCTAGATCTAGGCCTTGTTATTGTGTTTTTGCACTTGCTTATTTCAATAAAAGTTTTTTATCTTTATCTCCTTTATCTTCAATGTCTATTTCATTGCATTTGGTTGGTTATTTTATCATGTGTAGTGAGTAGTTCCATTTAGGGCTTAAGATGGGATAGGTTAGAGGTTGTTTATGCTTAATCCTTCTTGCTTATGTTCTTAATCTAGAAATCTCTCTCTTTTGGACAAAACTTAAGGCTACATGACCACTACCCCTGGCTTGTATGTCTATAGGCGATTCTCCACATGGAAGTGATGGAAATCGTTGGGAAAGGTCCACTAAGAGCTCCAATAACTCTTTCTCTCGAAATGGAGTTCATAGGGGTTGGATGGATTAGTTTGAGCAATGATCCTATGGCCTCCAAGGCTTGATTCTCACTGGCTAACCCCCTGTTTCTGAGATCAAGTCTTGGTTGATAGCTTTCACCTTGGGAAAGGGTTAGCTAGGCATTGAGAAGCTCAATATCAAGAGATACCTTGATACAAGTTGTTTAAGAGCAAGACTGATTAAGTATAGCCTCCCTTTAGCTGCAAAACCCTGTCTTTAACCCTAATCTTCGCATTAGCATCTTAAAGTTTGCACCTTTATCGCTTTTCATTGCATTTCCTCTGTTTTTACACCAACTCGATCCTCAACTCGATCGAGCTCACTAACTCGACCCTCAACTCGATCGAGCTCATCAACTCGATCGAGCTCTTGGTCGAGCTTATCAACTCGATCGAGCTCTTGGTCGAGCTCATCAACTCGATCGAGCTCTTGGTCGAGCTCCCTTGCATCTGCTTGTTCTTGTTAATTTCTTGCATTTAGCTGCTTTCTTTTACTTTCTGCATTGCATTTCCGTTATATTAGGTTGTTTAGTTGTTACATCCATCTTCATTTATCATTTGGCTTGAATTGCATAGTTCATGCATAGTTCTATAGAGTAATCAGCTTCCCATTTGGATTGACACCTCAAATGCTACAATGACATGAGTAGCTGGATTTGAGTAATTGATAGTAAAATCCTGTTATCAGTGCCCACATGAGTACCGCATTGCATTTCCGTTATATTAGGTTGTTTAGTTGTTACATCCATCTTCATTTATCATTTGGCTTGAATTGCATAGTTCATGCATAGTTCTATAGAGTAATCAGCTTCCCATTTGGATTGACACCTCAAATGCTACAATGACATGAGTAGCTGGATTTGAGTAATTGATAGTAAAATCTTGTTATCAGTGCCCACATGAGTACCGCCTTGACTTGGCTGTGCACTACCTGAAGGATGATGCCATGATTTGGTGGGATGGTGTGATGGAGGTAGCGCAAGGGCGTTATGATTTGACGTGGGCTGATTTCAAAGAAGAGTTCACCATGGAGTATTTCCCGCCAGAGGCCATGGATAAGATGGAGAATGCTTTTGAGGATCTTCGTCAGGGTAACCGAACTGTTCAGGAGTACAAGGAGGAGTTTAATCGTTTGAAGAGATTTTCAGCGAAGCACCTGAGTGAGGCTGAGCAGGTCCGCAAATTCATGAAGGGACTGAGACTTGATCTCAAGACTCGCTGTTCTATCAGGAAGTATGACAGTGTTGGATTTGGTTGAAACTGCAGCTGGGCACGAACTTGGATTCCAGGAGGAACAAAAGTTGTCTAAAGGTTTCCAAGCTAAAACTGGTAAGAGAGATAGTAGCAAGAGGAACTGGGATACTGCTAATGCTACACCAGGAGAGTATGCTAAGAACTTAACTTGCTTCAAGTGTAACCAGCGTGGGCATCTCAAGAAGGATTGCACTGTTGGCAATTTTCCAAGAGGGGTTCAGCTTAGAGCCGTGCAGCCTGTCAGGGCCACTTGTTTCCGTTGTGGACAGAACGGGCACATTGCAAGGAATTGTATGGTTCCGCTTCAGGGGCACCAGCAGCAGAGGGGACAGAACCGTGAGCAGTTACAGTTGCCACCGCCACCAGCCGGTCAAGCAGCAAGGCCTCGGGTTAATGTCGTAGGAGAACACGGTGGTGTTGAACCGATCGCTGGTATGTCATTTCTTCTTGACTTTTGTGATTATTCATTAAGAGTCTTGTGTGAAATTTGAATAGCATGCTTAGCGTAGTACCAACCTTGTAGGATCGGTTTTTGTTGGGGGAGTTGCCGCCCATACATTGTTTGACACAGGAGCTACGCATAGCTTTGTGTCTCCGACACTGACAAAGTGTTGGACCTTAAGGGCGTTTTTGTCTCGAGGGCGAAAGAGATCGAGACAGCCGGAGATGAGAGGGTGAAGTCTACCGGGGTTTATGAAGAAGTTCCTATAGTGCTAGAAGGTGTGGAGATGTTCGGAAATCTTGTGAAAATGGAGTTGAATCACTACGAGGTGATTCTCGGAATGGATTGGCTGACGAAACATCGAGATGTACTTGATTGTCCGCGAGCGCGGGTACATATCCCGAGGACAGAAGGGAAGTTGGTGTTCCAAGGGATCAAAAGAAATAGCGGAATTTCCATTATTTCGATGCTGCAAGCAGAGGAGTTATTGGAGAAAGGAGTTGAAGCATATCTTGCCACCATTACTATGAATGAGAAAGAGTCGTCACCTAAGCTGAGTACAATACCGGTTGTAGCGGAATACGAGGACGTGTTTGAACCATTGACGGGACCACCGCCACACCAAGGTGATGCATTTACGATAGAGTTAGAGCCGGGAACCACACCTATATCGAAGGCACCTTACCGTTTAGCGCCAGCAGAAATGGCCGAGCTCAAGAATCAGTTAGAGGACTTGGCTGACAAAGGTTTCATTCGACCGAGTAGTTCACCGTGGGGAGCGCCGGTGTTATTCGTCAAGAAAAAGGACGGGAGTTTCAGACTCTGTATCGATTACCGGGGCTGAACAAGGTGACGATAAAGAACCGGTACCCGTTGCCAAGGATCGATGAGTTGTTGGACCAACTACAAGGAGCGTCTTGGTTTTCTAAGATAGATTTGGCATCAGGTTACCATCAGATTCCGATAGCCAAGAATGATGTGAGGAAGACGGCTTTTCGGATGCGCTATGGTCATTACGAGTTTGTGGTAATGCCGTTTGGACTGACCAATGCGCCAGAAGCTTTCATGAAGTTGATGAACAATGTTTTTCGGGAGTAGCTTGTTCTCTGCTATGGATCTGTTAGGACCCCTCAACATAGCCATCTTGAGATAAACTCTATCTCCAACCTGAAACTCAAGCTCTCGTCTGCGTCTATCTGCATAACTCTTCTGCCTATCCTGAGCCTCCTTCATGTTCAGCCTCACAACACGAACCTTCTCTGTCGTCTCCTGAACATAAGTAGCTCCATACATGCTGCGCTCCCCCACTTGGGTCCAGCATAGGGGTGTCCTACATGGCCTCCCATACAAAGCCTCGAATGGAGCCATGCCAATACTCGCCTGAAAGCTGTTGTTGTATGCAAACTCAACTAAGCTCAGGTGATCTGCCCAATGGCCACCCCAATCCAACACACACATCCTCAGCAAATCCTCCAAAGTCTGAATAGTCCTCTCTGACTGACCATCTGTCTGCGGATGATAAGCTGTACTCAGATGCACCTTAGTGCCCATCTCTGCCTGAAACGCCCTCCAAAACTCTGAAGTGAATCTGGGATCACGGTCTGACACAATACTAGCTGGCACTCCATGCAGCCTCACAATCTCTCGCACAAACTTCCTAGCCAAGACAGCAGCTCCATCTGTCTTCTTGATGGCCAAGAAATGTGCAGACTTAGTCAACCGATCCACAATCACCCAGATAGCATCGAAAGTCCTCGAAACAGGTAGTCCAACCACGAAATCCATCGTAATCCTGTCCCACTTCCACTCTGGAATGGGTAAACTCTGTAAAAGACCACCCGGAACCTGATGATCTGCCTTCACCAAGGCACAAGTGTTGCACTTCGCAACCCA